GATAAACAAAAAGCCAAAATGTGTGTATATATATATATTTATTGAATTTTGACATTTTAGCTTAACCATGTTTTAAAACATTACAAAATAATTTAGTAGACCTAATAAAAGATGTAAACTGTTGTTATGAAGTCTATAAATAACTAATACAATATTTTCACAAATACAATAGAATTTAAAACATATGAGTATGTATATGAATATATATTTGTTTCATATCTATGAAATTAAACCAAACCAACTTATCCATGTAAAAACAAACATGTATGCATATAAATATTTATTTATATACTTGTAAAAACTTTGTTTGTGGATAAACAAAAAGCCAAAATGTGTGTATATATATAACTATATATATATATATATATATATATATATACATAGAAACCAATAAAATGTGTGTGTATAAGATATTAAGCTTAAAGTACTTAACACGCATAATATAAACTCCTAAACTAATTATACCAAGCTTGATGTTCTTCATTATAGCTTGTCTTGGTAATCATGCGGATAAAGCTAGAACTTAGATCTTCAACTTGAATTTTATAAGCTTCACTCCACAATTCCGCCAACCTCCATTAGATATGATCCTGAAAGAGCAATTCCATCCATTCTCCAACGTGTTGTTTGTCTATAATAAATAGATAAACACAAACACTAGACAAATAACATTAATGGTAAATTGTTTGTTAAACATCATCAAAACAAAGAGGCCAACATGCTTGACTTCACAAAACAGACAAAAACTCTAATATCTCTCAAACCAGAGGGAATTTAGCAAAACAGACAGCGGCAAACCAAACTTCAGTTGGTTTTGTTGGCCCCGTCTTGTCAAAATAGTTGATTTCATATATAATTTGTCCAATTCCGACTTACGGTTTGAAAGTTACGACATGTTCTTTGTAGCATGTTTTGGAGCTCGCCTGCAAAGGAGTTTAGCTCGCCTGAAAAGCAAGCTCGCCTGAAGGCTTGAAGCTTTAAGCTCGCCTGAATGAGGCTGGCTCGCTTGCACAGTCTCGCCTACCAACCTCACCTAAAGGCCAAGCTCGCCTGACAACTGGGAAGCTCGCCTGCATAAGCCAAGCTTGCCTGACAACTGGGAAGCTCGCCTGCATAAGCAAGCTCGCCTGACAACTTAAAGCTCGACTGCATGAGCCAAGCTCGCCTGACAGCTTGAAGCTCGCCTGCATGACCCAGGCTCGCCTGACAGCTTGAAGCTCGTCTGACAGATGGAAGATCGCCTGCATGACCCAAGCTCGCCTGCACGCTTGAAGCTTGCCTGCACAAGGTAAGCTCGCCCGCAAGCTTGCCTAGCCCACCCACTTGAGGCATGGGAGTGGTCACTTCCCACGATTTAAGGGAATGGCTATGATTCTCCTCATGGCCATACCCAGTTTGGAAATGGTCACTTCCCATGATTTAAGGGATTGGTCATGATTCTCCTCATGGCATACCTAGTATGAGAATAGTCACTTCCCATGATTTAAGGGAGTGGTTACACCCTGCTTCCTCTCTATAAAAGGCCATGAGCAGCCATAGAGAAAGGGTCTTAGGACTTGACCTCTTTGAGGGCGAATTTGAGAGATCTCAAGACCATCTTGGACTTGAGATCCGTCTTGCTTCTGGCACACTGTTGGCGGAGTCTTGTTCTTTGAAGATCGGACTTCTTGTCATTCAAGAAGGCCGAATTCGTGGCATCTTCGGCCCACAAGCACAAGCACTTGTTTGGCCTCGCTTGATCGAACTCATCCAATCAAGCTTCTACTGCGTACTGAAGCTTGCCGACAACCTCATTTGGATCGTCCAAGGGAAGCAAACTCGACGCAAGCATTCGAGGGAGGCGTCCTATCGCTACCGAAGAACCTACGTTAAACAAGAAGAGCATTCTCTTCGTTTTTGTTGTAATTGTTGATCCTTAGTTTGTAATAAGCCACTCTTATTAATACAAACAATCCATTTTCGGGAGTCAATTTTTACGCCCTACAAATTTATTATAACAAAGTTATCATTTACTAGTTATAGGTTAAGCACAATTTTAAGAAATTTCTAAGTTAGATCATATCTCCAAGCAAATGACCATCACAGTGCATGATCTAACAAAATAGTTTCTAAAGATATATAACAATTATATTAATAATATCCAAATTATATGTGCAACAATTAAATTTAGTAACATTACAATATTATTACATAATTTGTAGTAGATGTGCAAGGGCATATTATTATTACTATTCTAGCAGACACAAGAAAAGATTTTTTGACGTGAATTGGGATCCTTTCCGCTGTAGATTATCTAGTTGATGATTGTGAGTTTCTATGAAAACAAGATAAGTGCTACAATTTTAAGTAAAACATGTATATCATTTATTTATGCCATAATTGCCTTGCATCCAAATTAATATCTATTTTAAGGTTTGAATCTTCCCCACGTTTCTCATTATTCTCGCGAACTCTCAAGGAGGAGGGCCCTGTTGCTGCATTTAGCTGAGGGGAGAATGAGACTGGACTTCCTCAGTATCAACGACTCTGCACTTCTCCATATGCACACCTTTGTATAAAACACTATTTTCAGTGAAGATTTATGCATTGCTTTCAGCGCGAAGATATCCAAGGATTTAAATGAACTGTGTGATACCAGAGAGGACTAGAAAGTCTCCGCAGCATATGTTAACCCTTAGAGCTTGATTGGTGCAAGGGTAAAGAGCGTTAAACCTAATCCTATTAAATTTTCTTCTAACTTTAATCATATTTGTTATCATGTTAAAATTTTATCAAGTTTAAAAGTTTAACCATCTATGATGATAAACTTTAACCAAGTGAAAGAGTAGGAAAAAAAAAGGAAGAAAAGTTTAGGCTTCAATCATGTGCAATTATACATAACCCTAAAAAAATTTTAAAACTGACAAAAAGGCCCCAGAAATAAAAACATTACAAATATCCCTTTGTAAAATAGAAAATTACGAACAAACTCCAATAATTTCCAAAGTACTAAAACAACCCTTAGAATTTTAAAAACTATAAAAATATCCTAAAAATTCAAAACTTACGAATAACACTAACAATTTTAAACCTTACAAGGAGCACCCTAAAAACTTTCAAATTTATAGAAAACACGCTGAAATTTTGAAAATTATAAAAAACACCATCAACAATCAAATTAAGAAATTAAATTGAAAATTTCAAATCTAAAACATTACAATGAAAAGGAGGGAAATACAAACTACCCCAAAAGTTTTAGAACTTATAAAAAACACACTGCAACTTTAAAAACTTGCAAAAAATACCATAAAAATTATAAATTTATTAAAAAAATTAAAATTTAAAGCATAAAACAATAAAGTGAATTAAGACTTGCAAACAGCCCCCTAAAAAGTTTTAAATTTGTAAAATATACCTAAAACTTTTAAATATTTAGCATAAAACACCTTAGAAATTTAAAACTTAAAGAAAAAGCTTGAAATTTTCAAACCTAAAACAGAGCACTACAAATCTATAAAGTGCCAACAGCCCCCTAAAATTTTAAAATTTGTAAAGAAACACCCTGAACTTTCAAAATTGCAATAAACATCCTAAAAAATTCAAAACTCAAAAAAAAGATCTGTGAATATTTCAAATCTACATGTAGCACATTGAAAATCTTACAATTACAAATAGCCAAATAAAAATTTTGGGATTTGCATAAAAACACTAAAACTTTTAAAACTTACACAAAATACCCTAAAAATTCAGATTTTGCAAAAAGAGTCTGAAAACATCAAACCAAGAACAGTACACTGAAAATTCTAAGAATTACAAATAGCCCTTGTAAATTTGTGATTTGCCAAACAACCCTAAAATTTTCAAAAGTTGCAAAAACACCCTAAACTGCAAAATCCTCTAGAAACTCCTTGAAAATTTTTAACCTATAAACATTAAATTGAAAATCTAGGATTACGAACAGCCCCTTGAAAATTTTGAAATTTGCAAGAAAAACCCTAAAACTTTTAAAATTGTAAAAAACACCCTAATTTTTTTAACATTTACAACAAACAAACCAACCTGAAAAGGTAAAAAAATATATAGAGATGTTTCTTAAAATTTCAATTTTTGAGGTAGTTTTAAGCAAATTTTAAAACTTTAGGGTGTTTTTATGCAACTTTTAGGGTGTTTTATGCAAAGTCAAAATTATTTAGGGGGATGCGTGTAATTCCTATATTTTCAGCATAATGGTTGTAGGTTTAAAATTATTATTAAATTTTTAATAAATTTTAAATTAGGTGTTTTTTGCAACTTTTGAAAGTTTTAGGGTGTTTTCTGTAAATTATAAATTTTTTAACGGGCTATTTGTAATCGTTGTTTTTAATTTACTATATATTTGAAGATTTTTCGGTAACTTTTATATGTTTGAGGGTTTTTTGCAACTTTTATAAAGTTTAGGGTGTTTTTTACTAGTTTAAAAATAATTAAGGAGCTGTTCGTAATTCTTAGATTTTTTATGTACTGCATTCATTTTGAAAATTATGGGCTTGTTTTGTAAATTTTGAAATTTTAAGTCTTTTTTGGAATTTTTAAAAGTTTCAGTGTTTTCTAGGAATCCCAAAATTTTTAGGAGCTGTTAATAAGGTTTAAAATTTTAGTGCTATTTGTATAAACTACGAGGGTGTTTTTGTAAATTTTTTAAATATTTTGGGTTGATAGCGAAGAGATCAGTTTAAGATTAAGTTCATCCTCATTGAAAGTTTATACCAAACATAGGAATGTTTTCCCCGTTAACTTTTCTAGGGTAAAATTACAATGTTTAAGTTTAACCCTGATTTCTTTAACCTCATAACAAAGGAGCCCTTATTGACGATGTTTTAACATCACATATCCCTGCAAGTAACTGTGCGTTCGCAACAAAAGCATTTTAAGCCTTGTTTCAGAATTCTTAGCAGAGATGCAAACATCGAAAAAAGTTGAATCAATTCAGAGACAGAGTACAACATCTAAACAAACAAAAATATTGATGTTGAAGAACTAAATGTAAAATCTACAATCTAATTAATACTGAAGAACTCAAAGATAAATACATCAACCTTACAATCAGATGTAAAAGATCGCACAATCCGAGATGTGGCCCATGATTAGCCTGCATAGTTACAAGGGAATAATACAAAAGGTAGCCTGAAACTGACATTGATGGTTTTTGATACTGAGAAACGCCATCCTAAGGAACATAGACATGGAAACACAGATGTAAATTATAACTTACAACATTGATTAACACAGGAGACATGAAACAGTAAAAACTAGCTTCTCATGCTCTAGCATGGAGCGAAGAAAGGTGAGAAGCATAGTAAAAATTCTCCAGCTAGAATGGACATAATCTGATTTAGATTATGTCCTCCAGCGTTTTGTCAATATGATGAGATATCAAGATATCCACCGTTGCAATTGCTCCTCGAAAAGTATGTTTTAGTCAGCTAGACTTGAGATATACAGAAGATCTACTTGTATTGCTAGAATATTCACAGGATTTATGCCTCACAGTTAGATTTGCCCGTCAAAGCTCTCTGCTTCCACCAGTTAATGTTTTTGGAAATCAACCCAACAGTATGAAAGTTATATTAGGTGTTAGAATGCGTCTACAATGCCTCTGTATACTTCAGCAAATTACTATCTGCAAAGGAGTCCAACAGAACGATAGGAAAGCAATGATCACATCACTCTGAAAATAAAGGGATAGAAACACATTACAGGCAAAAGTAAAAAAAGGTGTTTCTTGAAAGAAAATGCGAAAATGCTTATAACAAATAAAAGCTTGTAAAGCACAATGTAGAAAAGTAGAGTTTTATTTGATCATAGGCGGAATAAGGAAAGAGTATAATATAGATGAAAGTTATGCAATTTTGGGCAATATTTGACATTTATAAATGGGAGTTACATTAGTAGTCATTTAACTATTCTACACTACAGCTCTCTTAAGCAGACATTCACAAGCGAAGAGAAGTTATCACATTCTCAGTTAAAAGTCTTTTATTCATTTATTTATTTATTTACTCCATCCAACTCAGTGTCATCGTGAGTCAGATGGTCAATGTAATAAGTCCATGATGTGCCTTGATTAGTTTTACAGGAAGAGGAAAAGGGTGCACCATGGTGTTTGGATATTAGATATGAAATTTATTCAGGTTCTCCATATCAAACAGTGGATAGTAGGCAAATACCGAGAATATAAGGGCACACACTCCATATATCTTGGACAGTATGTATGTATAACACAAGTAGTTGCAATGACGTCATCTATTTAAAAAAGAAAACCCAAACATGCATGCTAAGGCATTCAAGGATAGTATGTGTTTTAGAGGGAAAATGATATACCAAATAAAAACATTCCCACATGCAACCAAATGCAAAGGCATTCAAGGAACTACTGACTGTCATCCTTTGATGACCCAGTGGTGCTTCCAGTGGAAAAAGGATATACCCCTTTTCCTATGTTTGTTAGTACTACATCTTAACTAGTATTGTGAGGCCACAAGGCAGTATTGTATGCACAGTTGCAGCAACAAATACATATAATATAAAATTTGATTTTTTTTGTTTCTTGGATTGTTCTTTTCTTTGTTTGTCTACTCTCTATTAGACTATCCGTTATCTTTTACTCTCTTAGTTTCTTCCCAGTCTTCATTACAATTCTTATTCCCCATTTTATGGTTTTGCTTCCTACTAATTATGCAGTTGTTTTGTCTCGTCTCCCTCCTATTTTTTCCATCCTCCTATTCTCTTATCTGCTTTGTCTTACTGCTTCTTTCTCTTTTATCCCCCTTTCAGCATTGCTCTGTGAAACAATGGCTCATAAGCCAAGCTTCTCTGCAACTATCTAAAATAATTTTCCAACAAGAATACAATACTATAATCATCAAGTAAGGATGGAGTGCAATTAATTTGATCCATCTCAGCTTCAAATCAATATTATGTCCAAAAAAAATTTAAAAAAATGTGTAGTTGCAGTTGCACCTCAATTCAGTGAGATGTGCAAAGCCCCTGAGTCTTGTGCCTTAGGTGCATTAAGTCCTTTGTGCCCTCCACCCTAGCTACAGTAGTTTGTAGGGTGTAATATTAATAAGCAAATATGAGGGAGATAAAGTTGCAGTTTTGATTGAATGGCTCGAGGAGAATGGAACAGAAGTTTGGAACGAGGTTTTTCTCCCTATATGAATTGAGAAGGAGAGAGGCATCGGTTAACAGAGACCTAAGAAATATTTGTTAATTGATAAAGAAACTCTTAAGCTCAGTCATTCTAAAACCCCAACTGACCTCTGCCTTGTGCATTGAGGATTTGTCACGCAGGGCTGCTGATCAGATTCGATTGGAGATGGCAACTGAGATAAATGGCCAAGACTCTTCTGTGATCCATTTGGACAATTTACACTGCACAAAATAAAATGAATCACAAATGAATAAGTGGAAACTATATAAGCTAAGCCTTGTATTAGTTTCAAGAATGAAAGCCAACACCGTGCACATATAGAGAAGAATGCAAGTGCTTACAGGTAAAAAAGATGAGAGCATACAGCTTACACGTAGATACTACACTTAGAAATAAAGAAGGTTAAACATCCATAATCAACAAGGTAATGATAAGCATATTCTAGTAATAAGTTATAGTAAATAGATTTTTAGCCAGCACAATTTATTTCTTTTAACATTTGACAACAGTCCATAGTTTTAAAAAGTGGTCTAGGCTTCCGCCTAAGCCTAGGCAGTACTTAGGCCGCATGTCTAGGTTTTGTAAGCGCCTAGGAGATCATGGATCATTGTGTGGATTGCAAAACTTAGATCATGGTCCAATTTCCTTTGTTGCCACCTCCACGTCCTCATACCTACCTGGCCTCCTCCACCAACTCCGAACACCTCCTCTATCTCCAACCTTCAGCAAAATCTCCACCTCAAGTTAAACAAGAAATAAGAAATTTGCCTAGGCCCTGCCTAGGCAGCAACCTACGTGCCTAGCGCTTACTGTAAAGTTCACAGCACAATAACCACACAACATAACGAAGTATACGTCTACAAGCCAGGCCTCATAAAAATCCTAAGACTTTATCATATATCTGACTATCTGTAATAAGAACTAGACAGACAGTTTTCCGCATTTCTTTCTTTCTTTTTTTTAAATGACCCCAGAATTTTATTTTGAAAAAAAGGGGGTGAGA